CAGCCGTACCGGGGATTTGAACTCCGGACCTCAGGGTGTGAGCTGAGTGCGCTAGCGATCCAGCTACGGGACACTAATGAATATCCTAAACTGTACACTAGTGTGTTGTTGCCCGCAGTGTGTTCCTCTAAATATAATACTATCTTTATGTCGACAAGTACATGTACAAGGTGTCAATACTACTATATACAAAGCCGCTTGTTATGCAAAGTATTTCGGGTCAATTAGGTTAATTTTGTCTCAGGATGCGACCCACACCTCTCAACTAACACCCAGGTACCTGTTTTACTGTGTGAATATGGACAGCAGGTGTCTTAAGAAAACACGTCTTAATATTTACCAGCCGTACCGGGGATCGACCTCCAGACCTCAGTGTACCATGCACAATCATTACTGAATCACTTAACTCCACATAGTTTGCAGCACGAAAATCAGGGGTCTTAACTTTATTATCTCTGAACTTAAACTGAGTCGTAATAAACGACTGTAAATGAATAAACAGTTGTTAGAGTGTTTGGGGAGTGACCTGATACTCTTGGAACAACGGTTCGAATACCCCATTCATCTTTTTTTATTGTACTTACTAAGGTAACGCCATCCGACATTGTGATCCTTTCCTACAAACTCTTCATTAACCTATAGACTGTTTATCAAAGTTTCCTGTTTGCTAGAAGAAAGTCAAGAGGATTATTTCCAGCTAGCTTTATCGCCAGAAAGTTTCTAAGACGCTAGACTCCCAAAAATCTCCCATTCATACTACACTGTCCTACCTAGATGCCTTAGCAACTTACTCCCATAGAAGTTTACCATAGTCACTACCCAGGTATGGGAGGTCACTCTGGAAAACCCTCTCACCCCCCACTGAGAGGACGACCCCCTCACCCTCTCAGAGTACAACCCTCTTACCCTGAGAGTACGACTTTCTCACCCTCCCTTTATCTCACGCAGTGAGAACCAGATGACCAGGTACTTGTACTGAACATGTACATACTACATGTACTCCTCCTGAGCCTCTACACTCACTGAACATGTACACTTAGTGTACACTGTGTAGACACTGTATACCGTGTGTAACACTGTATATTGTGTACAATCACTGTGTACTGCGTTCACTCAGTACACTCACTGTATTCATTGTATACAGTGTACACACAATAGTGTGCACATATAGTCCATACAGTCTAGAGTCCACAGTGTACACAGTACAGTGTACTCACAGTAGTGTTCACAGTACAGTATACAGCACCCACAGTGTACACAATACACAGTACAGTGTCCACAGTTCAGTGTACAATACCCACACATTGTACACAGTACAGTATAGTGTCCACAGTAGTGTACAGTACCCATAGTGTCCAGTGTACACATAGTACAGTGTACATTGTACATACATTACCCAGTGTACATACAGTGCAGTGTACACATAGTACATACAGTACCCACACTGGTATAAACCTTGGTAATAAATACCGACCATTTGGTTTAGAAAGACACGTAAGCAAACACTATAACATATTTATTAGAAAACGTTTCGGTCCTGGGACCTTGATCACTAAGTGATCAAGGTCCCAGGACCGAAACGTTTTCTAATATGTTATAGTGTTTGCTTACATGTCTTTCTAAACCAGTACCCACACTGTACATACAGTACCCAGTGTAGTGTACACAGAGTACTTACAGTACACATACTAACACACAACAATGGTTGTCAACAAATTACTTACTTGTTACATCACTGGTAATAAGTGCCCTTGATCTTTGACTCTTGCATCACCCATACAGGTCTAGCGCATTTTTTCTAAATAATAATGATACAACACTTGAATCTTATTCCTTCATAAATCCTATATTTGATGTATCATTAATGATAAATTATTAATTTATTATTAATATTGCTGTATTCATAGACAAGTGCTCAACATGTGATATTCAACGCCTGGGGACGAGAGATAATCAGGTTTGATCCAAGGAAGAGGAGGGTAGCCCCAGTTTTTTGAATCAAGAGTCTGTAGATTGCCTGTAAGCATAAGCATAATCATGGGGGAGCGCTAAACCCGTAGGATTATACAGCGCATGTGGGTGGGATGGAAGGTATTCAGACTCAATTCAGGGAACCGGAGCACAGATCCAATTCCCTGGATCAAGAGCCCCTCACCAGCGCCAAGGAACCTCCCTTGAGGGGAGATTGCCTGTAGACAGTTCTAGGGATCAGTGTCCCCGCGGCCCAGTCCTAGAACACACCTCTGACTTGCTGACTTGATTGACCAGGCTGTTAGTGCCTGCTGACCTGACTGACCAGGCTGTCAGTGCCTGCGACAAGATTAACAAAGTTTGCTGTTGAAGACAGCCTGGGAAACGGATCCGTTAATTCTCACTATGTGGGAAGGGAGGCTGTTGAAAAGTCTTGGTCCCTTGATACTAATCTCACTGTACTCATCGCACCCCCTGCATTTATTTTGAGGTATTTTGTACTATCTGCCAAGCCTCTTTATTTTCATGTGAAGTGATTTCAGCATTCAGGTTTGGGTAGTCTCTTCAGAATTTTCCAGGTATAGATTATGATGCATCTTTCTCGCCTGATTAAATTATGATTAAATTACGAGAGGAGTGCATTTCGTCTGCCTTGAAGGAGTCCGTCAGTATTATTATAATCAAGGGGGAAGCGCTAAACCCGTAGGATTTAACTCCGTCAGTATGTAGCAATATACCAGACTACACAACACTGACTTGGTGTATCTCACTCAAATTCCGCTTTATTGAATTTATCAAGTTTTGTACGCTTTTCCAGTTTGAATTTCATATCTTTTCCACAGCGTATTAACTGAAATCTGTCCTCATTGAACATTACATTATCAGTGGCTCACTGGAAGACTTGGCAAATTACTTCAGCTTGAAGGCTCCTTGCTGCCGTCAGTGTACACTGTACAGGAAGTGTTGAACTCTCTGGTGTTTACCACCCAAATTTCAATACGAAGTGTACTGCCATGTTTACTTAATAATAAAAAATATCTTTATTTACTACAAGTACATGTACAAGGTATACAGGCCATAGATGACGTTAATGACATACTGAGCATTTCGGGCAAATTAGGTCAGTTTTGTCGCAGGATGCGACCCACACCAGTTGATTAACTCCCAGGTACCCATTTTACTGATGGGTGAACACAGACAACCGTGTAAGGAAACACGTCCGATGTTTCTACCCTTTCGCCGGGAATCGAACCCAGACCCTCACCGTGTGAAACGAGAGCTTTTGCCTCCAGGCCAAGGGGTACCGTACTTGAGCCACAATGTGTCCAGGGACTAGGCACCCATGTAATGATAGGTGAAGTTAGTGTATAAACACTACTGCTGTGTGTATATGTACTGGTACTGTGTATATGTACTGGTGCATAAACACCAGTCCTTAGAGGGATTAATACCAAATTTGCACACGAAAATCACTCCCTCTTCAGGTATACTCCTACGAAAGCAAACGACTCGGCAGGCGGTGCAACATCCCCCCAATGAAAAGCAGGGGCGCCAGGAGTACGCTAAGAGACAACACAATAAGTGTCAGGGGCCCCAAGACTGTTCAACTGCCTCCCAGCATACATAACGGGGGATACCAATAGACACCTGGATATCTTCAAGAAGGCGCTGGACAGGCACCTAAAATCAGTACCTGACCAGCCGGACTTAGTTCGTACGTCAGTTTGCGTGCGGCCAGCAGTAACATCCTGGTTGATCAGGCCCTGATCCACCGCGAGGCCTGGTCACAGACCGGGCCGAGGGGGCACTGGCCCCCGAAACTCTCTCCAGGTATACTTGAGGTATGTACTGGTACTGTGTGTTTGTACTGGTACTGTGTTTATGTGCTGGTACTGTGTATAGGGACTACTACTTTCTGTGTATCCACTGCTGGTGTGTGCACTAATGTGAAGGATCTAGTGGTGATAATGTCAGAGAATCTCACTTTCAAAGACCACAACAATGTATCTACCACATCTGCTAGGAAAATGATAGGATGGATAATGAGAACCTAAAAAATTAGGAACGCCAAGCCCACGATGACTTCAAATCGCTTGTTCTCTCTAGACTGGAATATAGCTGTACACTAATGGTGCCTTTCAAGGCAGGTGAAAGTGCTGACCTGGAGAATGTAGAGAGAACCTTCACGGCACACGTACGATAAAACATCTAAATTACTGGGAATGGTTGAAGTTCATTGACTTGTATTCCCTGGAACGCAGGCGAGAAAGATACGTGATACACACCTGGAAATTTCCAGAGGGATTAGTACCAAATTTGCACACGAAAATCACTCCCTACTAAAGTAAAAGACTCGGTAGACAGTTCAACATCCTCCCTAATGAAAAGCAGGGGCGCCACGAGCCCGCTAAGAGAACACAATAAATGTCAGGGACCCAAGACTATTCAGCTGCATCCTAGCACACATAAGGGGGTTTACCAACAGACCTATGTCTGTCTTCAAGAAGGCGCTGGACAGGCCTAAAGTCAGTGCCTGACCAGCCGGACTATGGTTCGTACGTCAGTTTGTGCGCGGTCAGCAGTAACAGCCTGGTTGATCAGGCCCTGATCTAGCACGAGGCCTGGTCACAGACAGGGCCGCGGGGGCGTTGACCCCGAAACCCTCTCCAGGTATACACTGTGTCAGTATACACTGCTGGTGTCAGTATACACTACTACTGTCAGTATACGCTGTATCAATATACACTGCAAGAATCAGTATACTCAATATACACTGCTAGTGACAGTATACACTGCTAGTGACAGTATACACTGCTAATTTCAGTATACACTGCTAGTGTCAGTACAGACAGCAGGAAGTACACTATGTTAAGTATTCATATACACTGCTGAAGGAATAGTTATGTACCTACTCGAGTGCAGTGACCTGAGTTACTGGGTGAGGCAGTGATAAAGGATAAAACAGTGAGTGCAGTGTAAAGTGAAGCGAAGCAATGGAAGGCGAGAGAGAGAGAGAAGCTGTTTCTTACCTTCTATCAACATGGAAGTCATCCTGGCCGGCTCCCAACACTCTTCCTCTCCTGTTATCTCCCGTTAAACCCACCCTGGATAGCTGCGAGAGGGTAGGTATAGAGGGCGGGTGTGTCACTAACGGGTTAAGGGTGTAGGAGGTGTGTTAAGGGGTGCAGAGGGCTGGTGTAGCCCTAAATAGGTCGGGGACCTAGGGCTGATGGCCGCCATCACACAACACAGGGATCAACAAGTGCCTCACTAGTCTGCCAGACGCACGACCTCTCCCCCCACCACACCATATATACTCACACCATATATACTCACACCACATATACACTCACACCATATATACATCCACATCTTATATAAACCCACACCTCCATTAACCTCACTCTATATATACTCAAACTATCACCTTAATCAATATATTTTAGAAATTAAAACAGCCATTGTCTCTTGCTAGCACAGCTAACCTGGTATTAATGACGCCTAGTGTCATCAACAGGCTTTAAAACTAATTAAGCACCCCACCATCATCAAAATTAATCCTGCCTTACTCTCCCGGGGGTGTATGTACGGAAAATAAGGCTCAAGGCAAGCACTGATATTGCGCCCCCTGTCCCAACATCTGACACCCGTCTTTTAGATAACTTTACCATAAAATAAGCTTAAAACTACATTAAGTTCATTATTCTTTTAATTAACAAATTATGGCACTTCATGAAAATTGCAACTGTGCCTTCCTTGCTTTCACTGATGCAAATTGGTCTATGATGTGCTCAAATTCACTTTTTTTTTCACTTTTTCTTTCTACACTCAGCAAAGCAAGATCAAAGTCTGCCTTGACTCATGGAGACTGAAATACAAAGTTATGTTTTAACTTTCTGAATGATCTCTCAAAGCAAGCGATGTAAACTGCGATGGTTAGTTATTATCTGTATATCAGTGTGAAGACTGGGGAAGACACTGTCATCTCCTTACTGAACGATAAATATGAGAAGTTCTTCAGGTCTTGATATTTTTATGTTGGCCCGTAATGATGGCAACATTTTGCAATCCAAAATTTCCTCATATAGCTGCTGTCCATCAATATCACAGCTGTACAATTCGCCCAAATTTTCGCATTTCTTTAGGTCGTTACTGTCGGCACAGTAACAGTTATTCATACCAATAATAATGATTATAATCCTGGGGAGCGCTAAACCCGTAGGATTATACAGCGCCTGTGGGAGGGGGATGGAAGGTATTCAGACTCAATTCAGGGAACCGGAGAACAAATCCAATTCCCTAGATCAAGAGCCCTTCACCATCGTCAAGGAACCTCCCTTGAGGGGCCCCTCACATCAAGAAGGACCCCAAACTTGGCGTCAGTCTCGTGCAAACGAGAGAACCTTTCATTAATTTCTCTGTGATGGTCGAGTGTTCGTTTTATGACTTACAATTTCTTCCTTGGTTGTTAACCCAGCGTCTCTCCACTTCCCAACAGCCATCCATTCGTTTATTTCGTCTTTCAAATTCAGTATTCCATTATACCGGGAGAGGGCTTCGGGGGTCAACGCCCCCGCGGCCCTGTCTGACCAGGCCTCATGGTGGATTAGGGCCTGATCAACCAGGCTGTTACTGTTGGCGGCACGTAAACCGACGTACGAACCACAGCCCGGCTGATCAGGTACTGACTTCAGGTGCACATCAAGTGAGTTCTTGAAGACACCCAGGGATCTGTTGGTAATCTCCCTTATGTATGATGGGAGGCTGTTGAACAGTATTGGGCCCCTGACACTTATTGTTTTTCATTGGGGGAATGTTGCATCGCTTGCCTAGTCTCTTGCTTTCATAGGGGGTGATTTTCGTGTGCAAATTTGGTTCTAATCCCTCTAGGATTTTCCATCTTTGCATCTCTCCCGCCTGCATTCCAGGGAGTACAGGTTGAGGAACTTCAACCGTTCCCATTAACTTAGGTGTTTCATCGCAGTTGTGTGTGCCGTGAAGAATCTCTGTACATTTTCTAGGTCAGCAATTTCACCTGCCTTGAAAGGGGCTGTTAGTGTGCAATAATATTCCAGCCTAGATAGAACAGGCGACCTGAAGAGTGTCATCATGGGCTTGGCATCCCTGGTTTTAAAGGTTCTCATTATTCATCCTGTCATTTTTTCTAGCAGATGTGACTGATACACTGTTGTGGTCTTTGAAAGTGAGATCCTCTGCCAATATCACTCCCAGGTCCTTTACATTAGCTTTTCGCTCTATTGTGTGGTTGGAATTTGTTTTGCACTCCGATATAGTTTTAATTTTTTCACATTTTTCCATATCGGAGTAATTGAAATTTCTCATCATTGAACTTCATAATGTTTTCTGCGGTCCATTTAAAGTTTTTGGGTGATGTCCCCTTGAAGTCTTTCAGTGTCTTCAATGGAGGACACTGTCATGTAAATTTGGGGGCGAGTACTGTGCCTTACCTGGAGTATATCGGAAGAGGGTTTCGGGGGCCAACGCCTCCGCGGCCCGGTCTGAGACCAGGCCTCGTGGTGCATCAGGGTCTGATCAGTCAGGCTGTTACTGCTGGCAGCCCACAAACTGACGTACGAACCACAGGCCAGCTGGTCAGGTACTGACCAGCGCCTTCTTGAAGACAGCCAAGGGTCTATTGGTAATCACTTTTATGTTTGGTGGGAGGCAGTTGAACAGTCATGGACCCCTGACACTTACTGTGTGTTCTCAGTGTATTCGTGGCGCCTTAACTTTTTATTGGGGAAATGTTACATCTGCCAAATCTTTCAGATTGAGTGATTTTCGTGTGCAAGTTTGGTACTAATCTTTCTAGGATTGTGGAAAATTGCATTTATCTGAATGTAACTCATTATGTACATAAGAGTAAATGATAAAGAAGATTATTATTTATCAAAGTTACATTGACAAGTAGGAATTTGGGACACCTAGGTCGCAAAAAATGTCCCCCTTCGATACCTACCACTGTCATCTCCACAAGTTGCTCTGGACCTATTAATTACAAATGAAATATGTATCAACAAGAATTCTGGTAAATAAAATTTGGTGGACTGTATATTAAATTTAATAAAGAATTATATATATACACATTTACATAACAGAAGGAGAATATCTTAAAATCACTCACCAATTTGACTGGAGATCAAGGTGTATCATACTCAGAAAACCTCACTGTCTATACATGAAAATAACACTGGCCAGAGTTACAACATAACAAACTTATCTGAGGTTCCTGGAGTTGTCTTGTCCAGTTGCCTGATATTTAAAGTTATGCAGGAATGCACATCCAACAATTTCGGCTCCTATTTGAGAGGTGTTAGCCTAATTTTACCTCTAGAGCACGAAAAATTCTTCCCATTATTCACTAACGTTTTTGTTGACTTGTTCAAACATGGCGAGTCTCTTCTGCGCAGGCGCAGCTTCCCATTTTTTATAACAGTTTTTATTAAATACAGTATGGCCACCTATTTACATATAACTACTGTATTTCTGGAATATATACAGTATTTTCCACAAGGATTTTCCAAATTTATATTATCATGTATCTCTCGTCTGAGTTCCAGAGAATACAAATCAAGGGACTTCAACCGTTCCTTATAATTTAGGTGCTTTATCATATTTGTGTGTGCCATGAAAGTTCTTTTTGTACACTCTCCAGGTCAGCAATTTCACTTGCCTTGAAGGAGACAGCATATAGCAGTACTCCAGCCTAGAGATAAACTATTTGAAGAGAATCATCATGGGCTTGGCATCCCTAGTTTTGAAGGTTCTCATTATCGTGTGAATTAGAAATGGGGTGAGAACCAGGCACTGAGGCCGGAAAGGAAAACTGTTGGGGAATTGTAAGCACCGGAGGATTGTGAAGAGACTTGGGCTTGAGACAGGTTTAACTTCGCAGGCATGCGAGGCCTTGTAGATTGAGAAACTAGCGAGCGAGGAGTAGAGGTGGGAATAGGTAAGGAGGTGGGGGTTTCAGAAGGTAAAACCACAAATGAATTAGAGATGGGGGTGACCCCGGAAGACACTTCACTGGAGGAGCTGGTAGTGGGGGACACTTCACTGGAGGAGCTGGTAGTGGGGGACACTTCACTGGAGGAGCTGGTAGTGGGGGACACTGCCAAGGTTGGAGGCCTCTTAGCTGCCCGCGAATAAGGGATACGAAGATGATTCCCTGAAGGCGGAGCTGAGAGACAGCCATAGCGTAAGGCCTTCACTTTCTCGTTCATTGCGATAGACTTGACAACGGCGGGAAAAAGAAGGACGAGATTCATTGCAATTGACAAGATGGGGGAAGACTGCAAGATGTATCGGCATGATCTGCGGTACCACAGACCAGCAGTATTTAGCGGGGTGTCCAAAGCACCAGCATTTTCGACATTGTTGGGGAGTAGGGACTACTATACGGACATTTAGGCGATGACCCACGATATAAACGGAGGATGGGAGTTCATGGCAGTCGAAGGTTAATCCGTGTCTGCCCAAGTAGGTATAACCCGGGAAGTACAATCCGATCAGGGGTCAAATTTCACCTCTAAAGTTTTTGAAGAGGATATCTTCCGTTTAGGGGTAGAACAGATTTTATCTACAAGTTACCATCCACAATCACAGGGCGTATTAGAGCGGTTCCATCAGATGCTTAAATCTACACTGCGAGCTTACTGCGAGCAATATTCGCAGGATTGGGATGAAGGTAGTTATGAGATTCCTGGATGGGTAAGAAGGAACCACCTTCCAAGACAAGAAAAGATAGATTTCCAAAGAATCAAGCGAAAGAAACGCTGCAGTCTTGGCAAGACAAAACACTTTACAGAATTTTTCTCTGCTTCTGCAGTGGAAAACAGAAGCTACTAATGAAGAACCGGTACCACTACCAGATGATATTTCTTCTGAGGACCCACCAGCATTCCCAAGTACATCTGCAGAAAATAAACAGAATATACCAAATCAAGATAGTAAAGGTGATGAATCACCACAACCACATCCTACAGATATTTGTGTAGACATGGACCGTGAAGTCCCACCATGTGATTCAGACACAGCCATGTGGTTTCCTGCCAGTGAAAAGCATGTGTCCTTTTGGTCAACTGCCACCATATAGATACTGAAAGTGTGACACCGAAGATATAAATAAATACACATCAGTAATTGTTATAGAGTGTAGATGGAATATATTATAAACTGAAAATTATATTCTTAAAGTCGATAAAATCAGACGTCTTCTTCGAAACCTAATGTTTTTTTTTGTTTGGAAAACTGCTGTTTATCATTCATTTAAGTTCATTTCTTATTTGAAATTCAATTAATTTCCATGTTGAGGGCCCCCCAAACCTAAAGTGTCCCGGGCCCCTCAAGGTCTAAATCCGGCCCTGATCAAAACTAAATACTAAACCCACAAGAGATGTCAAATACTTAAGCCCAACATCAAGGTGACGAGTCCATGGATATATTCGTAATTCTAATGAACAATGTGGCAAACGAGTGTCTTTTGGGCTAGTGTCCAGGGCGTTTCAAGTATCAAGGTTCAAGCCATGTTAACACACAGTAACAAGACTGTTAGTACCTTAATAATTACCAAGTGACAACCCTCCCTCCCCCCTACCCATTACCCTTCCACTAGTAACAACTAACTACTCACCCCCCAACCCCAGACCCTTCCCCTAACGACCTTCCCTATCTCCACAACCACTGACGTCATCACCCCTCCTCCAGGTCAGTGGCGCCATTTAGCCATGGAGGTCAAGAATAGTGGCGCCACTAGTCACTCTTTTGCCATCCACCACACCATCAACACCTCCAGTTCCATCAACCTGTGGTAATTCAAAAAACTTGGATTACTCCAATTTCATGGTAATTTTTGACAGATCAGCTTCGAAAATATTTTAGCTAAATACAGCATTCTAAATACATAGTAAAACTTCAAAGTATGGCTTACTGCAGTGCAGTTCATGTATAATCTAGTAATGTCCACACTTTTATCTTTGCAGACATTGTTTTGGCATATTGCTGCTGGTGATGACATTTCTGAAGACGTGCAGCTGCCCACAACGCGGCCTTCACCACACAGCAGCTGCCCACAACGCGGCCTTCACCACACAGCAGCTGCCCACAACGCGGCCTTCACCACACAGCAGCTGCCCACAACGCGGCCTTCACCACACAGCAGCTGCCCACAACGCGGCCTTCACCACACAGCAGCTGCCCACAACGCGGCCTTCACCACACAGCAGCTGCCCACAACGCGGCCTTCACCACACAGCAGCTGCCCACAACGCGGCCTTCACCACACAGCAGCTGCCCACAACGCGGCCTTCACCACACAGCAGCTGCCCACAACGCGGCCTTCACCACACAGCAGCTGCCCACAACGCGGCCTTCACCACACAGCAGCTGCCCACAACGCGGCCTTCACCACACAGCAGCTGCCCACAACATTGGGAATATTTTCACCCTACAATGAACTTCAGATCTTTAATTAAAATGTAATAAATAAATTTTTTCTTTATCATAGCAAACAAATGTTCAAGGAACACAAAAATACAAAAAAAGGAAATAAAGTTGAGACAAGCCTCAACTGCTGTATTTGTCAGCAGGACAAACATTCATACACTTCGAGAGCTCTAAGCTCGGGGGAAAAAAAAAAATATATACCTACCCCAATCCTACTAACAATATTAATAATGAGGCGGATAGCCTCAATACTGCTATTAATAGTAGTTCGAGGTAGGATACATTTTTAAATTTCATGACCTTGGGTTTGTATTGTCAGGAAGCTATGCAAAGTGTTGCGACACTGGACAGTCGTGTACAACACTGTCTTCACTGCAAACACTCCTCGTGCACATCTAACACAAGCTATGATTACCTCTTGACAAAACAGAACACTGGCGACAAGAGGATTCTGCGGTAGTTAAACAAGTTGGAGGGTAAACCCCGTAACATACATCACAACCTAGCCAAACCTACTCCAAACATCCCTTTTATAAATATAGGCATCTAACTGGAAAAAAAAAAACATCTTGATATCAAGTCACCTTGCACTAATCTCCTTTGAATCAAACCTAACTGACTTTCATCGACCTGTCCCCCGATAGTTTACCGCTCTTTCCCCTCCCCTTCAAGCATTGTACATACGTGCACTTTGGGTCAAAAAATTTCCCATAACCAGATATATCTATTATTCCCCAAGATGTGTATAACTCCTATGGATGTTAAGCAATCAGATCTGATCCAAGGAAGGGAAAGGTACCTCATAACACACTAGGCCAACCACCAACACTATGGGGGATCTAACCATTTGAAGCTCTGCCGTATACCAGTTTCCTAACACTATACTATGCTAGCCTGAATTCATAACCTACCTTACCTGTCAGTTATGGCTGGCATCCTAGACAACCTGAGGACCAATACAATCAAGCCCCACACACTACCTCTATTTTTACGGGTTTCTAACCCAGCTGGGTTAATAATCCTATTCTCACTAATACCAAGCTAAATCAACCCCTTAACTGTACTCATCAGAATCTGATGTTAGTGAATCCTTTCTGCCGACTAACACTTCACTTCAGATCACAGAGGTTTTCATTATTTTCACCATTAACGTCTGCTGCCAGAAGTGTTAGACTTCACTACTTACAAACTATCAAACCAACTGCAATTCTGAACGCTAATACTTTCCTATGAATATAAACCTGAACGCCGCTTAAATTTTCCAAAATAATGAAATTGTGTAAACTCAATGAATCAATATTTAACTTTCTACAGTTTGGCCAAAGGCATAAAAAACGTAGAACACCCACCACAACCACTACCCAAAGCCCGAAACCCACCAACATCCCCACGGAAACCACGTGCAATAACAGATTGCAGACAGCTACTGAAGGTCGTTGGTGGGTTCCAAGGCCCACAGTTCTACGTAATCTATGCCTTCAGGGGAGATTACTCTCCCCTGCTATATGCATTCATAATGCATATAGCAGATTCTCCAGTTTTATACCTTACCTATCATACTTAACACCACCTAATCCTGTAAGTTATTTTGATAGAAACTAAATAATTGTAGACCTACAAAGTGTTATATTTATACACCACACCTATGCAGCATACTCCAGGTATAGGCCTTACTAATTTGCAGAGCAGTGGCGGCACACGGGGGGAGGAAGGGAGGTAAAGGTAAGATCAAGGGGTTCTAAGTGAGATCAAGGGGGGTCTAGGTAAGATCAAGGGGGCCTGGGAAAGATAAGGGGGTCCTAGGTAAGATCAAGGGGGTCTAGGTATAGATCAAGGGGGCAAGGTATGATCAAGGGGTATAGGTATGATCAAGGGGTCTAGGTGTGATCATGGGGGTCTAGGTGTGATCTAAGCAAGGGGGTCTAGGTGGATCAAGGGGGTCTAGGTAGATCAAGGGGGTCTAGGTAGATCAAGGGGTCTAGGTTGATCAAGGGGTCTAGGTGTGATCAAGGGGGTCTAGGTGTGATCAAGGGGGTCTAGGTGTGATCATGGGGGTCTAGGTGTGATCAAGGGGGTCTAGGTGTGATCAAAGGGGTCTAGGTGTGATCAAGGGGGTCTAGGTAAGATCAAGGGGGTCTAGGTAAGATCAAGGGGTCTAGGTAAGATCAAGGGGTCTAGGTAAGATCAAGGGGTCTAGATAAGATCAAGGGGGTCTAGGAAAGATTAAGGGGTCCACAAAGTCTCTAAATATATACTGTATAACCCAATTTCAAAACAAATGCCCCCCCCCCTTCCTTCCCAAGACTCTCCAATACAGACTGGAGTCATAAGCGCTAAACCCACAAGGCTATACTACTGAAAATATTTTTGGGACTTCAAAGCATAAAATTACTTGGTCAGGCCCTCTACAACACTACTAGAAATAGATATATGTAGTTAATTCCACATTTCTGAGGAATTGTTATTGATTTTTCCGGCTATAATGATATCCTGCCTAAGGAAAATTCATCCCGTCATGTGAAGCTAAAACTTTGGCTGTGTAGTTTTAAAAATAGGTTAGACAAATGAGTGGTTGAGAGTTGGACATGCCTACATGGGCCAACAGGCCTGCATCAGTGCTCCTTGTCTTAACAATGGATATGCCTGATTTAATAGGCTTTCCTTACACCCGGCATCAAGACTTCTACCATTACCCTCACCACACTAAACTATCTCAGTATAATTATTAACCCGGTAGATTAACACACAATTACACAATCAAGTCAAGATGACACCTATGAAATTTTTATTTGGGTATTTATACTCCCCCAGGATGCGACCCCTACCAGTAGACCTTCTCACGGCCAGTAGACCTGTTGCAGTGTTCCTCCTTTCTTATGTGAAGTGCCAATGGATATAAGGAACATGCCCACTTGTGCCCCGGATCGAATTTCGCTTCAGTTGACGCCACTACCAACTGAACTATGATATATCACTTACACATTTCATCTCTGCTTCCTACAATCTTGCAGGATGGGTATAGATTACATAATATATTACATTACATTAACTAAAAGTTCCTAAAATCTAATCAGTCTTCAATTCTAAGCTTTACAACCCATTTCTCCAATTTTTATTTCCACCCCATTCAAGGTAACGTTTAGAATACATTCCTCATTATTTCCTGGCCAGAGATTTCATCTCTGGTCTTGAGATAACCTAATACTTCCCACTAAGCTACTTTTGATATCAACTTCTTACAATGTTTCCTATACTCTCCCCACCGTCCTCCCACCTAATATAATTACTATCTGCTTCAGTAACCAAACTTTAGTGGACTTAAACCTGGAAATACCTTACAGTGGGCCTGCCCACCTCTAACGACGTCTCCAAGTGCTGCATTCATTAACACTAACTGTTTATGGTCCGATCATTTTACTAGTGTGGTTGTCTCCAACCCTCAGACTGGTCAATGTTGCTGTGTTGATCAATGTTGCAGCAGACACAGCCAGGCACAGCATCCTCATATGGTATGTTGCTGTGTTGATCAATGTTGCAGCAGACACAGCCAGCACAGCACTCCTCAGTTACCCACACCGAAACAAAAATTCACATTATTACCATGACATTATCATTTATAGGTAACATTACCATGTAAATAAACTAGTAAACATTGACCAGCCTGACTGATTATACCCATTAATGTAAAGATATTTTTTCTCTAATATTTACTTTGACATAAACCTGATGACTATAATTTGCTTGCATGGAAGTTATATCTGGATCACAAGGCGCAAATTCTTGGATCAAGGACCTCCAAAGTTATTTTTCAATAACGCGAAAAAAATAGCCCGAACTGATACACAATTAATAGTTATGTAACGCAAAGTGTGAGAGTTATTGTTGATCAGAGGAAGGGAGCAGCTCCAGTTACTCGAAAATCAAAACCCTCACTAAGGCAATACCCCAGCCCCCCTCTAAGACATTTGCCCCCAAAGAAAATTAAGACTAGTAACATATTATTAATTAGGGACAGGAGCTGCAGCCCAAACTCTGCTGTTGTACTGACAAATTACGTCACCAAGACAATATTGAGTTATTTAAGCGTATTAAAAGGTATGAGGAAGCGGTTATAAAGCCGGCGGGGGGCAGGAGGTTCAACAGTCTCTCCTGTACCACACTGGAAGTTATTGACCTTCAGTGACCTTGAGGTTGGTCACTGTCCTGATTATTCACTATAACACATCACTGATAACCTGACTAACTCTGACTACCACCACTAGATGGCACTGCTACACCACCACTACCATCACTATTATTATTGTAATCAAAAAGAAGCGCTAAGCCACAAGGGCTTATACAGCCTTGGCACTCTACTACAACCTTCACTATCCAGTACTACTCATGGTTGGAAGCGCTCAACCGTGGGGGTATGGACCACCTGAGAGGATTAAGTTCACTCCCAGGTGGTATAGATCACATTCCTTGAATCAAGAGACCCTCACCACCGCCTTCAAGGAACCTCTCAAGGCCACCACTCTCACCACCACTACTATTGTACCACTCGTACTCTACACGAGGGAAGATTATTGTACCACTAGTACTCTACATGAGGGAAGATTATTGTACCACTAGTACTCTACACGAGGGAAGATTATTGTACCACTAGTACTCTACACGAGGGAAGATTATTGTACCACTAGTACTCTACACGAGGGAAGATTATTGTACCACTAGTACTCTACAGAGGGAGATTATTGTACCACTAGTACTCTACACGAGAGGAAGATTATTGTACCACTAGTACTCTACACGAGGGAAGATTATTGTACCACTAGTACTCTACACGAGGGGAGATTATTGTACCACTAGTACTCTACACGAGGGAAGATTATTGTACCACTAGTACTCTACATGAGAGGAGATTATTGGACCACTAGTACTCTACACGAGGGGAGATTATTGTACCACTAGTACTCTACACGAGGAGGAGATTATTGTACCACTAGTACTCTACACGAGGGGAGATAATTGTACCACTAGTACTCTA